TCAAAGCTAACCCAGGATTATTTTGAGTGAATAGTTGAAATGGATATATTTTGAAGGAGACATCCCTCCCACAATGGCACTCTGACGTGTGGGGTGAGAGCGACCATAGTGAGGTAGGACAAGCACAAGCCATTGGAATCCCCCTCCCTACCAAAATGGTAAATCAAAAGTAGAATCGTATTCCTAGGGGGAATGTAGAAATCAGTGTAACTATCAAAGACTTGAGAGTGAAGTCATAGTGATTCCTACCACAGCTCAGCTTGACCAGTGCAAGACACCAAGAAGTCTCTGGATTGCTGTAAGCTTTCAAAAGTGATGTCTCCAACTGCAGGTGCTGCTCCAGAGATGGTCTTCTTGCTCAAGCAAATTCATCCAGCTCCTCACATTTGGTATGAATCCTCTGCTCTAGTGAATTCATTTTTTTCCTTCTATTTTGATGAACAAAGAACTTCAGAAAGAGTTCATCTTCAGCTGAATATCATAGCTGACCAGCTCTGTGCCACCACCTGGCTCCCAGGGACACTGCCCTCGCCACCACCGTGTTCCCTCACACTGACAGCATCATGCTGATCGAGCCTGGAGTCAGCAGTTTCTCTAGATGCCTTGATAAGACATATGTGAGTCAGAGGTGGAAGATAAATCATGTGAAAATGCAAAAAAAAAAAAGGGGGGTCTTGGTAAATTTCTGGGGGTTGAGGGGGTCTGATCAGGTCAGAATATTTCCTCCATAATGTAGAACAAATTACCACATTTTTAATCCCTTACCACTAAGACCCAATTCCAGGCAAAAATGTCATTTAGGGCATCTTGTTCCAAACCATGTACTGACTGACCTAGAAGGCCACCTAGCTTTGGGTTGGGCCGAGAGCAAGTGAAGTTTCTCCAGCTGGGAGAATGGTTCTCCTACCAGGCCCCATGACCTGGCAGATCCAATGGTGCTTGAGGTGTCTGTCTGTCTGTGGCATATTGGGGGACCGTGGGGGGGCCTGTGGCATAGCAGAGTGCTGATGAAGTTTGTGGCGAGTCCTAATAAGAAAAGTATGGCAGGGAAACTCAGGGTTCAGAACCAAGTGATTCTCTGGCCAAAAAGTAACTACTATCCTTTTGAGACATGACGCTCTGGCTTACCACTGAGCTCTGGGGGAGCCTAAATGCCTGGCTACAGCATAGCAGGGGGCCATGCTGCCCCTCATGAACCGGGGTTATCTGATCCAACCCAGCCATAGTGAGCCATGGCCAGAAGCACTCCATCTTCAAGGGGAGGCTCCAGGATAGGGCTCTGAAGGCACAGGTAGGCCATGTGTGTGAATTCCTCACTCATTCTTCCATGGCCCCTCCTCCTGACCTCCTGCTGAGCCTCCCCTGGGCCTACACCTATCACTTCAAGAGGGCAGAAATCCGTCTCGACCACTATGGGCCCTTCATCTGGATTTGGATTTGCTTTCCTTATCCATCATGCCTCCCACCGTCAATATCCGTGGACTTATCAAATGCTGTAAACATCACTGTCGCATCCCCACATAGTGCATCCAACCAAAGAATGCATTCTACAGCAGAAGTAAAGTAATGGGTTGATGCCTATGGCATTCACTCATCTGGTCAGGATGCCAGCAGTCCAGGAGCAGTCAGCTTGATAATATGGTGAGATGGTTTGCTGAAAACTCAGTGAGGGCACCAGCTGAGAAACACCACCTTGAGAGGTTGGGTCCGACCCACAGGATATAGCACAAGCTCGGAACTGACATGCATCTCCTTGTGTTTGTTCGCCCTCATAGGCTAGGAAGCAGGTGGAGAGGAGTGAGCTATCTCTCCATCTCAGTGCCTCCCACACACCTGAGGGTTGGGACCAGGCTGGTGTAGAGGTGTTGGTCTCCAAGGACACACATCCTCAAAATGTCATAGTAATACGTGAATTGGAAGCTGAGGCACACCCAGCTGTTTTGGGCTCCTTATAGCTCTGAGTGACACACAACAAGAGGTCATGGGAGTAGTAGGATGGTTAACCCTATCGAGGGAAAATCTGATTGATGCTGCTTGAAGGGGGCAGGGCAGGGCCACCGAGGAGCCGGACTTCAGGACGGAAACTTGGGGTCACTCCAACAGGCAGAAAATCCCTAGTCGGAAATACTAGGTCCCATGACCTGTTCTGGAAATGGACTCCAGCCTTTACCGGTGCTTCCTTTCTTTCTGGGTTCAAGAATGTTGGTTGATGGGGCACCTGGGTGGCTCAGGTGTTAAGCGTACGCATTCGGCTCAGGTCATGATCCCAGGGTCCTGGGATCGAGCCCCGCATCGGGCTCCCTGCTCGACGGGAAGCCTGCTTCTCCCTCTCCCACTCCCCCTGCTTGTGTTCCCTCTCTCGCTATATCTCTCTCTGTCAAATAAATAAATAAAAATCTTTAAAAAAAAAAAAAAAAAGAATGTTGGTTGACGATGGTTAATTTTACTCCCCAGGTTGCAGAATTTCAAAATGGGATTGTGATAGAAGGGGGAAGAGTGTCACTCGTGACACTGGACTTTGGAAAATGGTAGCCCCTAGACTTAGTCATTGGACGTGACTTTGAATGGTCTCCCCAAGTAGAGTGGAATTTACTCTTGGTTGTATGTGGGACAGTCGTAATACATCAGGTGGGAAGAACAGTGTGTGTGTGGGGGGGGGTCTCTTTGCTGCTGCCACCAAGTCCTTTTCTACCCTCCCCCTCTCCACCATTCTTCTGGAAAGAATCCCGGTCCTTTGGAAAACTGCCTCCGTCCCACTCCAGAGTGCCCTGAGCTCTAGGACAGGAATTTGAATCTCGAGTGAAGGGAGTCCCAGTGGCTGGTTGGTGTTGATCAGCCCATAGCAGCAGCTCCCGGAATGCAAGCTCTAGAGCCCCACCGGCTCCCACCGTCTCAAGCCCGATCGTTCAGCTCTTCCTTTGGCTCTGGGAGCTGCCCCAACACCCTTCCCACAAACCCTTTTTCCTTGCTAAAGTGGGTCTGAGTCCATTTCTGTTGCTCAAAGCCCAAGAAACCTTATTGAAAGTCTCTTTTGAGGCCACCTCATATATCTGTGCCTCCCACAGCTGTCAACACGGGGTCTGGCATGAAGGAGGTGCTCAGCATATGTCTGCTGAATGGACGGATGAATGAATGGATAACATTCCAACTCCCAGTTCACCAAGGCAATCTGGATCTGCAGACTGGGGCACATGAGGGCAAGAGGAAAAAGTGGGGAGAGTCCCCTGAGCACAAGAGGAGGTAGAGAAGTCAGAAATGTCAACACGGAGGGGCATACACGTCAGGCAAGGGAAGTTGTGGCATGGGGCTGTTGGGGAGTAAGAAGCCTCTGCAGCGTGGGAAGCAGGAAAGGGCCAGTGAGCAGCTGGGAGGCAGAGGCTGGCTGTCCCCAGGGCCGGCCTTGGGGCGGTGGAGACAGCCAGAGACGCTGGACGTTTCCCCAGAGCCTCCAGCTCTGCTCTTCCTTCCTGGGTTCCTTCCTTTGTGTTCCTCTTCCAAATGAAGGAACAATTCCAAAGACCTAAGTCCCCAGATCCCCATCAGCCCAGCTGGGCAAGCAGCACAGGCTGTGTCGCTGTGGTCACAAAGGCTGAGACTGAATGTCCATCCAGGAGCCAAAGCCTGGACTCATTATTGCAGTGGGCCCAGGGGCTGTAGGGCACGCCCGGAGCACCTGCCTGGGGAGAGGGGGCCCTGACCCCATACACCTACAACCACACCAGATGAGGGCGAGCAGGGTACACAGTGGCTGCCTTTATTGTATTCCAAGGGGAGCAGGCTAGCACCAGACCCGTCCCGTCCCAGGCCTCCAGGAGGGGCTCTCAGGAAGGCCCCAGGGTGCTGGGCCGAGCACAGCAATTCCTTGGGAGCCCGTATGTGAAGCCCCAGAGCTGGAGCCCCAGGATCAAGACCTAATGGCTGGGGCAGGCAGCCTACTTCCCAGGCACAGGGACGCCCTCAGCCCAGCCCGTGAGTGGGCGGCATCCTTCCTCGAACTCCCCAGGGCACTCCCCTTCGGAGACCAGCCCTAGCCCTCCTCCATCCCTGGTCTAGAGGGGAGGTGAACTTCACTGTGACTGCACGTCTTTCCAGGAAGGAGCACACGGTCCCTCTGAGCCAACACCTGCCCTCAGGCTGCAGCTGCTGACACAACCCTCAGGCCGCCTCTCCCGCAGGGGCCGAGGGCCTGGGAGAGGCAGGGGAGGTGCGGGGCGGTGGGCAGCGAGCGGAATCAGGCTGGGGAGGCGCCTGGGCAAGGGGACAAGCAGAGGTGCAGCGAAGGAAAGGCAGCAGGCTGCCAGGCGGCTGGAAGCTGGGGATGGGAGATGGGGAGCAAGGGAGCGTTGAGTGAGGGCCTGAGAGCTGGGGGAAGGAAGGGCATGAACACACATCACCAAAGGCCACCGCACAAGAACAAGACAGGCTCTGGAAGTGTCCTGAGCCCCATCTGGGCTCAGTGACAGGTTAGTTGCAGGACACGCTGGGAGGCACGAGGCCAAGTAGCTGGAAGGAGACGGCTCCCTGAGAGTCACCAGGCCAGACACAGCGCAGGATGCCCAAAGCCCCAAGGACAGAGAGAGGTCAGGGCCAAGCAAAGGTGAAGGGTAGCCACTGGCCGGTGGGCTCCCAGAGTACAACATTCAAGGCAGGGTCTGGCAGGGCGGGGGACTGGGTGTGGAGCTCATGCAGGGGACTCAGGGAGCCTCCAGCAGTGGCCAGTGTAAACTTCAAGGAGGGCCTAGGCCACCAGGCACGTGGGGGTGGGGCCTGGGAGCCCCAGCTGAGGGTGGCACCCGGGGAAGCCCCCCAGGTGCCACCATGCACAAAAGCCGCCTGATGAGGAGTGGATTGAGGAGAGGCTGCTCAGAGAGGCCCCCCTCGTGGCGCCTCCTCAGCGCACCTTCTCTGGTTAGTTCCGTAGTTCTGGAAAGTCTCCATCGCCTCAAGCTGCTTCCTTGTTGGTCTGCTGCTGGGTGGAGGCCCCCAGCCTCCTGTGGGGGCTACCGCAGGCCCTGGGCCTTGGAGCCGCCCTCTTGGGTAGGAGGCTGTCCCAGCGACTGGGTAGCGAGTGCCTCTGAGGCCGGAGGGGTGGCCTTGGAGCTTGGAGTACTCTTCCGGGTGCCCTGGGGACTGGGGAGGCCTTTCTTCTGGGGCTGAGGACTCAGCTGGCCGCCCTTCCTGCCAGTGGATGGACTCTTGGAGCCTTTGGCCTTGCCTTGAGGGTGGGCAGCCTCAGGGCCCTTGAGGGGTTTGAGCCCCAGCATCTCACAGAAGGGGTTGCACTGGTGGGAAGAGGCAAACTGGTCCAGCAGGGCAGGGAAACAGCTCTCCTTGAGGCCTTGGTATCTGCAGCCAAACAGTGAGAGCTGAGCGGGAGTCCCACCCAGAGGGAGAGCCCTGGGGGGGCCTACGGTGGGGTGGGCATGGCCAGGGTGTTAGGCCCCATCCTTTTGGGGGTGCTGGGGAGTCCAGCTGGGTGCTACCTCAGGTAGCAGCACCCCAAACCTGAATTCTACCCCAAAGCCCCATTACACGGTGGTACAGGAATTCAGCACGTCCACATTCTCTGGTGTGAGGGTGATCTGCCTTGTTAGTACAAATTAGAGCAGACTCTGCGTCCCCACTTTACTCCCAGGGTCCTTGCTCAACTGCATCATGATGAGCCTTCTCAAGCCAGAAGGAAGAGGAGCCCAGAGGTGCAGGTGATCCTGTGTGGGGGCATCGATACTGCTGGTCCAGACCTGGGGTCAGGGGCACGGTGGGTGGAGGTCAGCGGCCCCTGGGACGTGGCTACACGGCCACCGGTGCACCAGACCCCATCTGGCCACAGGCCCAGCACCTCGAGGAGGGAGACCCAGAAGAACTTGGATAATTTTACACCCCGAGAAAATTCTCAGAGGGCCTTCTGGCCCCGAGAACTACTCACCCTCGCAGTTTGGTAGCAATCTGCACATCGGTCATCTTCCAATCCACCCCTGGAAAGAGACAAAGCTGGAAGCTGGGGCAGCCTGGGTCAGTTCCAGGGCCCCCACCTCTCCAAACTGGGTATATCGCTGGATGGGAGCGTGCCAGGGTTCAGGGCACGTCCTCACTTCCGGCTGGGCTCACACGCAGTGTGGGCGTCTTGCTATTGTTAGTAGTAATAATACCCCTTTATGCAGGTGAGGAGACAGGCTCGGAGGTCAGGGGCCGGAGCAAGGCCACATTCATTCATCCATTTGCTAACTGCACACTGACCATATGCAGTGGCCACTGTGAGTCAAACTACAAGTTCAGTTCTTACGCCTAGATCCCAAACCCCTCCAGCTGCGCAATCCTGCTCTACCGGAGACACTGGGCCACAGGCTGGGCTGGCCGCTGACTTTGAGCTGGCATCTGCTCCTTCCTCTCTGGGCAAGGGAGAGCAGGTAGGAATGTGAACGTAAACGAGGCTGGACCAGCAGAAAAGTAACAGTGGGGAAGACCGGCTTCTACCGACTCACACAGGCAGCAAGCCCACACCCCAAGAAGCCGAGACCAGGTGACGGTGTTGGGAGAACAGAGCCAGGCAAAACAGGCCCTGGGGGACTGGCCTCTCCAGCCTGGCTCGTCTGCCCCGGCATCCCAGCGTCCATGCATTAGAGTGGGAGCCTCTCCCCCCTTTCACACTGTCCTGTCACATCCTTCTGGGGGCCTGCCTTTCGCGACCAGGGCTCAGTGCCGGGTCCGACGGATGAGAGTCGGGCACACGTGGGCCGATGTCAGCCCCGGCCCCTCCGAGCGGCTAAGGGCTACGAGGACCACCTCCAGCCCTCAGCTCTCAGAGGCGGGTAATGCAGGGGGGTGAGGGCCTCACGGGGTGTGCAGGGCTCTAGCTCAGTGTCTGAGGCATAGCGGTCAAGCAGTTAGACGTCAGTCCCTGTCATTTCTCTCTCGGGGGCTCCACCTTCCGCTCTGCACCCCGGTAACCATGGTCCCCTGCGTTTGCACAGAATTTTAGTCTGCAGAAGCACTCACAGCCCCTGCCTCACTCAGTGCTCCCAGCCAGTCTGAGAGGTAGGGAAGAGACTGTCACTCCGTGGGAGGGAAAATGTGGCGAGGCTCAGAGAATTTGGGGCAATCGCCCTGCCTGAGCTTTGGCTTTCTCCCTGGGTCTCCAGAGACCAGCTGGAAAGCCCTGAGACATAGACGAAAGCCGGATTTCTTTGAGTCCCAGGTCTTTCGACCGCATCGCATTATCCTCCCATTCTAGAAACTGGCGTACTTACCACAGCTTCTTGAGGACAGTGAGGATTCCCAACTCACCTTTTCACCTTCCCAGGAGTGGCTCAGTGTTGGACGGATGGAGTCAACCAACAGAAGGAATGACAAACGGCTTAACGTGCGACCAGCGCCCCCTCCATATACGGAGTTACATATACCGTACTCATTGTGCAGCTCAACCCCAACGAGAAGCACATTTAAGCCAGTTTTCTACCTCTGGCCCTTGGCTTTCTCACTGATTCACATCGGGGACCAGATACGGTGATGGGGGATACTCCCAGCATTCCTCTCCTCCCGCCGTAGAGAAACTCTCCTTTCCTCTCCCCTGCCCGGTTCTGGCTAGAGGGTAGCCTGGGAAGGACTGGTCAGAGGAAGGAGGATTTGTGTTTGCTGGCCTTTTTGGGGGGAAATCTGAGGAATGGGGGAGACAGAAATAAGAGGAAGCCACAGAGACGAAGTTGGTTCACATAATAAAAAGCTAACAAAAGCGGAAGGAGGAGGATGTAGAGGAAGAGAAGGAGGGGGAGGGGAGGGGGAGGGAGGGAAGAAGAGAGAAGGAGGGGGAGGGGAGAGGGGGAGAGGGAGATGGATGAAGAAATGACAGAATTAAAAGGGGAGGGGAGAGAAGGGGAAGAGAGTGAGGAAGAAGGGGAGGGCAGAGAAGGAGGGGGAGATGGGGAGGAAGGGGAGGAGAGAGAAGGGGCCGTAAAGCCGGTGCTCTAGGACGGAAGGGCGAGTTTGGGAAGTACAGAGAGGGGGAAAGTCGAGAGCAGAGCTGCCAGGAAGGGAGGAAGGGCGAGTTTGGGAAGATTTTGGCTATGGCAGTTTAATTAGCTCCCATGTCATGTTCTTTGAACTAAATTCCTTCTTAACTGTAACTGGAGCCCAGAATGTGCTCCTGTGGATGCCACGGCAGTTCTAGACGAGGCCACTGAGGCCGGCGTGTATTAGTGGCACCTGCCCAGTCTCCTTGACCTGGTCCCGGGGCGGGGGGGGGGGGGGGGGGGGGGGGGCGGAGAAAAGGGGAGGCAATGCCCCGCACGCTCTCCTGCACGCGCACCCACACCCACACAGCCTCCTACCTGCCAAATCGGTGACAAGGAAGCTGCCATTTGTCCACAGATACAGCCAGTGCTGGAAGGTCTGGCATTTCCGCCGGACCTCGGAGCTGCAGGATGCCTCCGGAGCGGCCGCGCAGCCCCCCTCCCGCGAACAGTAAGGCTGCAGGGGCTGGCCCAGGTCCTCCTCCAGGGTCGCATAGGGGATATTGTTGGCAGGCCGGTAGATGAGGTACAGTGGGAGGATCCTAGACACAGTTCCACTCCGCTGTGAACAGAAGCAGGGCCCCAGAGGGCCCCTCCCTCCACCGCAACTCCGCGCTCTTGGGTTGGAAAGGAGGGTCCTTCCAAGAATGGAATTCTCAGCTCTGGGACCGAAGGACAGAGAGGAAGGCCAGCTCTGCTCTGAGCTCAGGAAAGGGAATGAGGCCATTGGCTTCAGAGTCCTGTCCATACCCTGAGCTCACTGGGATTTGAAATGAATGGTGCTATGGCCCCAGGAGGACCCTGAGCTTGAGTGAGGGACCCAGACCAGGCTGCGTCCAACAGAAAGGGACACCTCTAGAGAGGATGCTCCATGCCAACCAGACCCCAGGGTTCAAGAGTCAGAGTTCAGGTCTCAACACGGAAACAGCGACCATTTACAGCTGACTCCTACAAAAACCTACACGGACACCTACTGCCCGCCGGGGGAGTCCCGACCAGCTGGCCTGGAGGTTTACCCCACCCCCATCACCTTCAGAGAGTCCGGCATCCAGCCACCTGCAGACACGGAGCTAAGGGGGAGGGAACTGGGGTGAGTGGGGGGAGACCCAAGAGCAGGGCAGAGGCTTGTCTAAAGTGGGCAGTTAATCTCGAGGTCTTTATTTCTAGATTTTGTGGGACCACTGAGCCGAGCATGGGGTTAGCTGCGGGCTGTAACTCAGGATGCCCCTGACGGACCCTGAAATCACTGTTCTGGGCAGAAGCTCAAGTCAGCAGGTCTGCACTCTGCGTGCCCCCCTTCGTGTGCACTTACTCGGGTACCTCCCCAAAGCCAGGGGCCGCCTGGGCTTCGGCCGCAAAGATCTTGCAGTACTCCCGACTCATGTTCTGGATCTTGCATCCCTGTGGGTTAAAGAGAACCAAGTCTGGTCAGCAAGGGTGCTCCGTCGCTCTCCATCATGTCCAGCTCTAAGCGGGAGGGCCATCTGCCAGGGGCCTGCAGGGGGGATTCCAGCCCTGGGAAAGGTGGGGTTCACGCCTTCCCTGCTCCCTGCTCTGCACCTGAGTTTTCTCATTTGCAAAACAAGAGGTTGTGGGCTTGTTTCCAAAGTGGTTTCCAAACTGTGTTCCCTGGAGCCCAGGAGGCAATGCCCCCGGGGCCACGCTGTGGAGAACCAGGGAGACACCGAGATGGCCGACCCTACCCAGTCACTCTCCTTTCATCTCACGCAGAGGCTCCCTGCAAGGTATGGGTGAAGGCAACGAGAAAGGTTTCTGCTACAAAAATATGGTTTGAAAACTATGGCCCCGCCTAGCCCAGCTCTTCTCGAGACCCGTCCCAGGAACCTCATGAGGTTGACGCAGTGGCCTCTGCCTCCAGCTGGACCCAAGCTGGGGGAGGGGAGGAGGTGACAGTAGAAGGAGGGACCGGGGATGGGACACTGTACCTGAATGGTGACGTCGTAGTTTCTGCCCAGGAGAGAGGTCTCGCTGCTGGGTCCAAACACAAGCAGGCTGGACACCTTGATGATGCACGTGCAGCCTGACTCGAAGATGGGCTCCAGCCCGTAGATGACCCTGGCCTGGGAGGCCTTCTGGAGGCCATACCCATGTCCAGCCCCTCGTAGCTCCTCGCTCACCAGGCGCCCAAACAGCTTGTCCCCCCAGCAGCCAGAGTCAGCCAGACCCTTAGCAAACACCATGGGGGTCATCTCAATCTCCTCTCCAACTGCAAGGGAACAGGGAAGATGTGGAAAACTAGAAGTCGCTGCCCCACCGAGGTGGGTCTGTCGGGCAGGGAGAGCCGGAACAGACTCCTACCCGCCACTCTGGCACGCTCACTCACGCCCATTACTGCTCTTTGCGGGTCCATACACTGTGGGGCCCAAGCCAGCCCGTGAGCTCCCAAGGGCGGATCTGTGCCTGAACACAACCCCCGCTGTTTAACAGTGCTTGAGTGTGCCCGGCACACAGCAAGGACGAGGTCCGTGTCTGTACAAGGCACGGCTTTTCCGTGGAAGCGGCAATCCATGCATGGATTTTGTTTCGGAATTAGGTGTTTTGATCAAATGAATAAATGTCTCCATCTCAACGAACATGTTTGACCGAAACAGTCTGCAGGACCCATCCAGTAGCACGAGCTGCCCCAGTCCTCAGACTGTGATCCCTACAAGACATTTCCCTGTCAAGGGACCCCAAGCTCCCTAAAGAACTGGCTGATTCCAGGTCTCAGGCAGGAAGTGGACTCGATGCACCTAAAATGTCCTGCCTGACCAGAGAGCAAAGAAGCCACAAAAATCCCCGGAGGCTTGTCAGAAGGACGCAGGAGCCAACTTTCTGAAGGGGCTTCCACGGGCCCAAATCAGACAATCATACCAACCAAAAAGAATGATTTCTACAATGTGGCAAACATATCAAATATGTTTTAAAAATTACATTCTTAATTGTATTTGGAGAAAACTCAGTCCTCCCTCCCCACACACAAAAAAACCCCAAAACCTCATTGGTGACATTTGGAGGATCCTAGGACACCAACTCAGGGCAATAAAAGGACCATTTCTTCTTTACAGAAGAAACTCAATGGATGGATGAAGAAATGACAGAATTAAAATACTCCAGTTGTAAACCCTAATGAGATCGTGGATTCAGGCAATAACTGGTAGCTGCTAAAACCTCTAGGTAACAAGTATCAGATACAGTTTTTAAACTTTTCCAAAGACAGATAGGACAGAAAACAACTGAATGAATGCAGGGGTTAATCTTAATGTTACTAGAGTAAAACAATCAGACATTAATTGTGTGCTTCTAGATGGGATGCTAAGGGGTAGACAGAGCACACCTGTGAGGTGGCCTTGCCCAACCCCCCCCTCAAAGAATTGCACCTGAATCTGACCAAGCCTCTCGATCGGATTACCAGTCTAGGAGAAGCACATGAGAAGGGGAACATGTTAAATGGGGTTAAATCAACGAAATCTAGAGTGTAAGAAATCCTACATATCAAGTGACTTCAACAAATAAAAAGGGGAAACAATGAGCAAGAACAGTTATGTATTAGAGAGGCTTAAGATCGATCTGCCCAAAGCAATGAGTGGTTCCTAATCCAAGTAAACCAACCCTTACGAGACAATTGGGGAAATGTGACTGTGTTTGAGCAAATTAAAGAACTATTGCTAAGTGTTTAGGTGTGAGGTTCTATTTGATATCGATTACACTGGACAACTGATCAAAAGGCACTAGTTGAATGACTGAGTGATTAAATGAGCGAATGAATGAATGGATGCATTAGTTGGCAGTGAGGCTCTAAAAATTTATCACCAGCTGCCTTCACAGCCCTAATCCTCAGTGTATTTCCTAAGGAAGCAGCACAGACTTTTGCTCTAATGTTCGGGGAAATGCCTTATAACTCAGGGATATCACAATCACCAGAGACCTCCTGAAGATGCAGTTTTTCTGGGTCCCTTTCCCCCGAAGTTGTGATTAAGGATATCTACAGCAGGGCCCTAGAAACCGCGTATTTAGCAAGCTTGCCATGGGGATCGGAGGCAGGAACCCACAGAGCACGGTGAGAAACTCCAGGAAGGGAGCTGACAGGGTAAGGCAGGCTCTAGCGGCCAGGCCTGCCCTTGGTCAAGGGCTCCAACATGGGCCAAGGGCACGAGGCTGAATTAACCTCTCGTGGAAGGGCCCCTTGGCCACTCCTTCCCCCACGATCTTCGGAAACAGCAGTCCTCCCCATCCTCCACCCCGAGCCCTATCCTAAACAACGAGGCCAGGGGTAGCTGGGTGTGGAGGTAAACATGGCACTTGGAATGGATAAAGTAGGTCCTCCCCGAGGACGGCAGGCGTGGGGATGAAGGCCCACCCGCCCCTCCCCCAGACAGGCATCATACCTTCACCTTCTTCTCTGGAGATGAACCCCGACAACACTGTGGGGGAGAAAAAGAAGAGGAGGCAGTTGTCCTCGGGCTGGCCTGCCTGGAGAGAGCACCCACCCCGCAGAGACGACCGCGGTCCTCTCTCAGGAGCCAGGCTGGGCAGAGAGCGCGGGAGGGGGCTCACTCACCCTCGGGGCTGAGGCAGAAGTCGGTAGCGGCTGAGCCGTGCTCGTTGTGGATGGTGCATTGATACACGCCGCAGTCGACAGGGGACGCCTGCACGATGGCCAAGGCTGCCGGCCCCTCATCCCCCGCGCTGCAGAGACAGGAGACACCCCCACCCGTGAGGGCCATTGCCATGCACAGCCCAGGGCCGGGCTGTGGTCCTGAGGATCGTGACACCCTGTCCTCAGAGGCTGCAGGACCCCGGCTCCGAGGGCGAGCGGTACTGTGGTCAAGGGCTGGTCCTGGATCACACAGTTCTGGCTGGCCGTCCTGACACTCCCTAGCTGTGGGACACTGGCAAGTGATTTAATATCCCGGAGCCTCCACTTTCTCCTCTCTACTAAGGAAATACTAGAATCTCCTCCTAGGGTGCCCATGAGCATGACGTGATAGATGGGCTAGAGCCACAGTGGGAGGACTATGCCCCACATTCTCGTCGCTGTACTTAGGGAGCCAGGCAGGTGGACATGGTGTCCGGCTGGCTTACCTCCTGCCCACCTCGCCCACTGGGCGCTGATCTTTGGCCCACGTCAAGACTGAGTCACTAAGAATGTTGAAAAACTGGCACCAGAGCTTCAGGCTGCCCGAGGCGTCAGGAAACTGCTCCACCCGAATCTTCCGGATCACCTGTGGGGCTGAGAGCAGGGGCCCAGTTAAGAGGGACATGCCACTTCCCTGCCACCTTGTGCCCCCCACCCTGGCACCACCCCTGCTTCCCTGGGTGTCCCTGGTGGGACAGGGTGAGAGAAAAGAGAATTCAAGCCTGCCCATAAACCCACTGCTTCCTGGCCGCCAGCCGTGTCCCACCTGTTTCTCTGAGGCGTTTGCTTTGCCTCCCAAGCACACATCCTAGCTGGAAGGCCCCACTCCTGGGTCCCCCACCCCGGGCCTGGGACAGCCTCAGAGCCCAGGACAGACGGTGGTGAAGAGAGGACAGATGGCAGCTGCACTCGTGGGGAGCCCAGCATAACGTAAATAACTGTTGAATCACTATGAAACTAATGGGACACTGGGTTACGTTATATCATATTATGTTACGTTATGTTATAATGTATTATCTATATACATACATTATATTAGAGATACACGTTATATTACATTACTATATATTATGTTACAACTATACTCAAATAAAAAAATTAAAAAAAACAAAATCCATGAGAGACGAAACGCATAAATGGGAAGAAGAAACAGCACCACAAATTACCAGAATCAGAAATTTCCGAGGTCATGTCAGAACCTTCAGATATTAAATGGATCGCAGAGGACGCTATGGCAAATATTACCCTCGATATTTGTTTTATAGATGAAAAGGGAGAGTTCACTGGATGGTATTGGCTAGGAAAGCCCACCCAAGAAGAAACAGAGAACGCCAATGGCCTTACATCTATTAAAGGAACTGAGTTCACTAAAGACAACAAAGAAAACACAACAACGAAACATAAAGCTTCTCCCCAAATAAAATGCAGGGCTCTTGTGGCGAGAGAGAGCGAGCAAGAACTTCAGTTTGCGTTCTAGGCCCTAACTCGAGGAACCTGTGTCTGGATCCCGACCCTCCTGCCCTGTACTCGGGGGACGAGTCTGTGCAGAGGGAATGGTGGGGACGAAGGCACTAGATGTCGGACACTAGGGAAGCCAGCCCCACGCTCAGAACCTGATCTCTTCCATCCTGCTTCAGCCTCAGTGGTACACAGTTGGTACTCTTCCCAATCCCGAGTGGCAGAGCCAGGACGAGAACTAGCCCTCTGACCGCACAGCCTGGGGGGGGTCATTCCAGGAGAATGCGCAGGAGGGGCTCCGCAAACCCCTCATGGGCGTGTGTGCCCCGCGTGCGCAGCCCTCTGCCCATGAAGCCCTCCCCCGCCCTCCCCATTGCTCACCTTTTAGCAGGTCTTTGGCTTTCTTGGATTTGGCCGCAGTGTCCTGCTTGCCTTCATCCAGGGCCTGCTCTGCGTCCAAGCTGCTGGCCTTGGGGCCAGAGCTCAGGTCTCCTGCTGCCGGCTCGTCCTCTGCCCGCGGCACCTCCAGCATGCCTGCCTTTCTACCCTGGGTCGGGGAGCGTTTCTCCCGCCCCGGGGTCCCCGGGGACCCAGGTGCAAGGCCTTTCCTGGACCCCCGAGGGGAAACTGAGGGGCTCTCCTTTTCTTCAGCCTTGGCTGCCTCCCCATCTCCTCCTGCTCTGACCTTGGGGAGAAATCTCTTCCTCCGGGCCCCCAGAGCTAGCTCCTCAGGTGTAGCTGCAGGGAGGCCTGTTGGGGCCTCCTCCTCCCGGAAGGGTTCCTGGGCCCTTCTGTCTGCCGAGAGTGGTCCCTGACCAGAGGCCGTCTGCCCACCCACCTCCCCCAGAGACCCTCGCACGCTGTTCTCCTGGGAGGCCCCCGAGCGCCCAGGCCCCTCAGGGGAAACCTCGCCCTCGCCCTCACTGGATCCTTCTGACAGGAGCCCAGGGCCGTCCTCCTCGCCTACCACGATGGCAGGGACAGTGAGTGTGCTGGCGCCAGGGCCCCGGGCCATAGCCAGGGCCTGGCGGCCAGCCTGCACCTCGCGATCCAGGAGGCCGGTGAGGCGGCGGGAGGTGCAGGGGCTCAGCAGCAGGCTCTGCGCACTCTGCACTAGATGGTTGTTCTCCACGCGCTCCAGGATGCGCCTGGACGTCCGGGGACTCAGACCGGCCACTTCCACGTTGGGGACCAGAGTGGCTGAGGACACCGGAGCCCCAGTGGCGGCTCCCTCCTGGGACTCCACCCCCCCGCCCCCCGTCTCTGTGCTGGAGAGCTTCAGCAGCAGAAGCAGGTAGTTCTTCAGGGAGTCTATGAGGCCAGGGTCACAGCTCCGGGGGCCTGGGGGCCTCCCCTCCACATCTGGCCCTAGGGCACAGGCCCCCTCGCTGTCGGCTGACATGGCTGCTGGTGGGTGACTCTGGGTGGGGGTCCCTGGCCCCAGGTGCAGTGGGGGGGCCGACCTCAGCAAGGCCTGGTCCCCAGAGGGCGGGAAGGCGGCAGCACTCACGTGCTGAGAGGCCGGAGTGCTGGGCAGTGCCTCCCGTGAGCTCTTGGTCAGGCCCGGCCCGGGAGGAGAGGGCACAGTAGGCACCTCTGGGCTCCAGCCAGCTGGAGGACAGCCACCCAGATCCATGGACGGCACTTCCCTCAGCTGCTCCTCCTTGGGGCGTGGGATCGGGCCATCCTCTGGCTTGTCCTTGACCGGACCTGACCACTCGGGCCCTCCCCGCTGCTCCGGACCATCCTGGGGAGGCCACTGTACTGGGAGCGTGCGGCTGCCTGCTGGGGCATCCAGCAGAGCTGCCTCGTAGCTCCCAGGGGCTGTGACGGCCGCCCCCTCAGATCTGAGCACGAAACCAGGTTCTTCTGGGACAGAGGGCCCTTCAGGGGTCTGCTCAAAACACTCAATAATCTGAGGAGCCTGAGGACCCCCTGAAGGGGGCCGTTTGGGGGCTCTGGGCTGTGGGCTGAGGCTGGTCATGGAGCCCTTCTCTGACTGACCGTCTACAGCTGTGGGTATGCTCCCCTCTGACCGTGTCCCTTTGTCTTCCTGGATCCTTCTGTCTTCCTGCATCTTCTTGCCTGTCTGTGTCCCTTCCGCCTGTGTGCCTGCCCTTCCCTGTGCCGCCGCATCCTCCTGGGAACTCCGGGCTGACGCTGGCCTCTCACTTTCTTGGGGCACAATGTCCACCTGAGTCTTCCTATCTGCCTGTGTCCTCTGGGTTGTTTGTGTCCTGTCTCCTTGGGTCCTCCCGTCCACCTGCATCTCCCCATCTGCCTCCGTATTCTTCTTGCCTCCAGGTTTCTGGTCAGCAGATGTCCTCTGATCTTCCTGGGTGTCTGTGTCCATGGGCTCAATGACGCCCTGGCTTCTGGAGTTGCTGCAACCAGCAGAGACCGCGTCGGCACTGTTGCTGGCCAACACGGCAGGAGCCAGGTTTGCCTGGGATTCTGGGACCTGAGAACACACAGACAAAAGCAAGAACTTGGCTACAGGAGACTTAGGATCTCTTTCAACCTGGCATCCCAGGCTCCTCTGATCTCATCCAGGCGTGCCCTGATGGGAATCCTGCCACCTGGTTTTCCAGGCCTGCTAGGGGTTGGGAGGCAAAGGACATGTGACAAAGTGCCAAGCCCACCCATCCCAACCCCTGATCCCAGAGTCTAGACCAAGGAATGTCCGGAATCCAGGTCTAGCTCCGGCTCTTCCCAACTCTCCCTGAAGAAACCCTGCCTTTGCTGAAAGACCCCTCACCCCTGTCATTTGGAGGAGAGCGTCCTCTCTCCAGGGCTTCTGAGCAAATTAACCTGTCCCTCTTTTTTGGCACTAACTGACACCAGATAGAATTATGGGCAAAATGGGAGAGAGCTGAAGGGTCTCCTGACAATGGCCTCCATGACAGCATCCGCCATTAACATTGAGCGAGTGGTAGTAATGTGACACCATCCAGAGAAGGTTAAAGTAATTAGCAACGCCACCTGTGCTGGAAAAACAATGAAACATTATACTATTACCCTTTGAACACCCACTATTTGCAAAGCACTATGCTAGGCCCCTGTGTATGATGCATACGCTACCTCACTTACTCCTCACAGTATGAAATAGTTGTGAGCGTTCTCTCCATTTTAGAGATAAGAACACCGGGGCACCTGGCTGGCTCAGTTGGAAGAGTGTGCAACTCTTGATCTCGGGGGTTGTGGGTTCAAGCCCCACACCGGGTGTAGAGATTATGTAAAAATAAAAATCTTTAAAAACATTTTTTTTAAAAAAGTCAACCTTAGAGATAAGAACACACCGATGGCCGAAAGAGAAATGTGATTATCCACGTCAGACAGTAAGTGGTAGAGGTTAGCTCAGAAGCCAGGTGTGTCTAATTTCAAATCCCGGGCTCCCAGCTGTGAGCGGAGAATGCCTCCCAGGCAAATATAATTAAAGGATTTCCGGTCTAAACATAGTGACACAAGAGACAAGTTGCCTCTTTTCCTCCCAAATATAATCAAAGCCAACAAAGTAAACAAGAAAAAAAAGAATAATAAACTTCATCATGAGTGAAACTGGAGGCATATAAAATCCATAGTCTCAAAAAAAAAAAAAAAGAAGAAGAAAAGAAAAGAAAAACCGAGCAGGGGCTGCCTCAAGCAGATAGCTGAGCCACTGGGAGGCTGTTTGGGAACAAAAGCTGTGGGGAGAAAAGAAACCGTGAAACAGCTCGGGCAGGTGAAGAGTGAAGAGTTCCACAGGCCTCAGAGCGTGGCCGCAAAACACAGTTACTGTAGATACAAGACTCATCCTGGTGTGATGAACCCACAAAGTCCCCCTCCAAGGAGAGCTGTGAGATCGTGGAGAGCTGGGTGGGAATCACACAGAAGACGCTCAAGGTTGACATCCAGCTGGTGCAGGTAGAGGAGGGTGGAACGGCCCAGCGGCAGCACATCTCAGAAAATGCCAGCAAAAACATGCTACTGAAGAAACTTCCTGAAAATCTCTAAGCTTATGAAGATTGTTTTTTTAACATATGCGGACTTAGGGAATATTGTTCCCACAAGCCCCGCTTGAGAAAACTACTAGAGAGCATACTCCGGTCCACCAAAAGATGATTAGGGAAACCACAGCAAAATTCATGCTGAGCATTAAATATATTACTAATTATATAATCGAGACTAGAACCAAAGGGGTTTAGAGTGGCAGAGCAAAATGTCAGCGTTCTAGGCCCTGAGCAGGCAGAAATGATACAACTTGTACAAAAAGGGGAAGGAGGAAGGTGACAAGTGGAGTAAGTTCCTTGAGTCTATCACCTATACAAGCCAGGAACCAAAGATTTAATCAAAGCTGAAAAACTAGGTAATAGAAATACAGGATATCTAACTATACGGAGATAATCACCTAGAAATAAGAGGTGGGGCTAAGATGAGATGGAAAATGAAGGGAAAAAGAGTAGTGGAAACACTTTATCATAGCTTGTCATAAAAAATTAAGACCCTGAACAGAGGAAATGCTTAATGGTATCATATAAAATATAAAATATATATTATACATTTCCACATACAAATATCTCTAGTTATCAGAAGAACCACACACAAAACCAAAGGAAACAGATCACATAAAGACTTTAAAATATCTATAATTAAGCTACATTTGAATTAAGTATAGAATTTAAAGTTACTGAATATGGAATTTTGAATGAATGATACCATTCATTCAAATATGGGAAAAATAAGAGTGTGGTGATGCTCAGAAGCCATCAAATAAAAGTCTGACTGGCCAAAGAATTATAGTAAAAATGCTCCTCCAATTTCTCTGACCACCAGTAAGATACTAACAGACAAAAACCCCTTGGAGCCAACAAAGAGAGATTAGTGATACGTTAGAACATTCTGTTAACTCCTGGTATTCTAGAATTAGGAAGCATTAACACGGGCATGAAATCTATAAATTTACAAAGAAAATGCTGACTTTGCACAAGACTCATGAGAACAGAGCGTTTTTGCCTCTTTTTTTTTTAAGATTTTATTTTTAAGTCATCTCGACACCCAACATGGGGCTCAAACTCACTGAGATCAAGAGTCACACGCTCTAGGGACTGAGCCAGCCAGGCACCCCTAGAGCCTTTGATTAAAGCTATCTTCTCTCCCGCGTCCCCAGGCCTGATCAGTCCCTGAGTCCTATGGAACCTACTTCCTCGGTGTCTCAATACCCATTCCCTTCTCTGTCTCCAGGGCCAACCGCCTAAACCACACTGCCAACAATTCTGTCTCGCCTGGACTACTTTAGAGCCTCCCGACCTGTATTCATGACTCTAGTCTTTGCCTCTGAGCAACACTTACCCTCCCCGCAGCCCAAGTGATCTTACCAAAATACAAATCTGATTGTGACACTCCCCTGCTTAAAAACCTCTCCGGGGCTCATCATCATTTACAGGATAAAGCCTAAAAGCCTGAGCCTAAAGGAGAAAAAAGTTTAAGAACGCTGCTGGCCAGGGTATGGGGAAACAGGTTGTCAGCACCGCCCCTATGGATGGTGATTTAGCATCATTTAATAAAACTAAAAACACTTATATTCTTTGACCCAAGAGTTCCACTATGAGGAATTTGTCCTATAGATAGATTTCCATGTGTAAATGGACTTATAGACAAGGATTTTCACTGCAGCACCGTTTATAACAGCAAAAGACCAGAAATTACCTAAATTCCATCAACAGAACTGATCCAGTGAATTACGGTACATCCAAATTCCAAAAAAATAAAATCAATATCCAAATAGGAACACAAGGTGTGGATAAAAAGTACAATATACAGACTTTGTGTGGCAAATATACAGACGCACCCATATTTTTAAATGCAGGGAAAATAGTTCTGGAAGTATGCCCAAAAAAGCAGTTCTGGCACCTGACTTCAGGAAGAGAAACTGGGTTGGGGGTGGTGGAGTTGAGGAACACAATATTCTCCATATACCTTTTCTACTTTTTTTTTTTAAGATTTTATTTATTTATTTGACAGAGAGAGACACAGCGAGAGCAGGAACACAAGCAGGGGGAGTGGGAGAGGGAGAAGCAGGCCTCCTCCCGAGGAGGGAGCCCGATGTGGGACTCGATCCCAGGACCCTGGGATCATGACCTGAGCCGAAGGCAGCCGCTTAACGACTGAGCCACCCAGGCACCCCCTTTTCTACTTTTTAAATTTTATACCATGTGCACATGACACATATCCAACAATTTTCAATTTAAAGTGAAAATAAATAAATCAAACTCATGTGATCAACGAAGCCCATCCTTCAGCAAGGGTCCCAGATTTCTCTTTCCAGGTTCACCTCTTGGGTCCCTCTGCCCAACACCACTAAGTTACTGGAGTGACCACTGTGCTGTTTTATTACTACTTGGCGTGTTTTCTCTTTGCTGGACAGTCTCAGCCTTCTTGCTCACCTGAAAGACTCCTTCTCATCCTTGAAGACCTCACTTAAGTTTCTTCTCTTCTTGGAAGACTTCTGAGTCTCCTCCTCCACCCCCACCCCACCCCGCAAAACATTAGTGGCTTCCTACCCTATGCACCCATGGCGAATGTACCTAATTGTATCAGGATACCCTCATTCTGTGTGGTAGTTGTTTGTTTCATGCATGTGGCACCTGCTAATGTGCCACATTAAACTCTTCCTCTCTGAAGAGGTGGACCCAGCAGAGACCCAGGGTTAGAGGTGGTGCTGGATAACCATATGGTGAATGATCAGTTGAGTACTTTCTGTACACTTCTGCAAAGGCTGACCTCTCTAAACACTGTGGTGTGTGTGTGGGGGGGCGGGGTGTGGGTGTGTGTGTCTACATCTGGAACTGTGTGGAGATATGAGGACTGCCATGTATTTCTTTAAAATAACCATGCTGTGAGCAGGGGTGAACCCAGCTGGCTCTGTGTGAGCTTTTTCACTACAAAGAAGAGCAGTAGGTTTAATTTTCCCTCCTGACTTAACACCTCTTCCTCATAAATTCTCAGAGTTTAAGGATGCAGTGTGATTCACCCCGGCATCCTGCACAGGCCCAAGCACATAGGAGATTCCAGGAATCAACTACTGATTGACAAGTATTATGGCTTCTAACCCTCAAGGTGGGACATAGTCCTGGAGTGCTGGTTTCGGGAAAGCAGGGACAAAACCAGGAGCTTAACAGGAATGGTGAGGGCGGTGTCTGGGACCTGGAATCTCCTTCCTCTGAAACGCAGACCCAGGGCTGATATTGAGGCTTTAACATTTTTAAATGTTTGGTAGAATTGCCAGTAAAACTATCTGGCCTGAAAGATTTCTTTTTTGGATGATTTTTAGCTACATACTTAATTTCTGTAACAATTATATAGGATTATTCAAGTTATCTCATTGTTTGCAAGAGTCTGGTAGTTTGTAGTTTTTAAAGAATTGGTCTATTTCATCTAAGTTGTTGAACTACAGGCACAGTTTTTTAGAATGGACCTTTATTA